TGGTCGTCGTTGAATATTGGACCATTGTTTTCTAATTTTTTTTAGTGGAAAAACAATAATTGGGCATAGTGTGGTTGGCGAGTACCCATGCTCCAAACCTGCGTCCATTGGAATATACAAGTATCGTGTTTGGACTTTTATTACCATAGGTCAACTCATAGTATTTCGAATGTTTTTTCTTCTTCTTCTTTTTTTTTTTTTTTTTTTTTANCTTGGACTTTGATGCAACCTATTAAACATAATTAAATAGAACGAAAAAAATATGTTTTTTGCAAAAATATGAAAAAAAAAAAATTGGCAACAAATTCTCTATAATTATAATAATTTTATCTTAGTTGGTCTAAAGTTTTTCTCCATCTTTTCGTATTTTATATCTTTTAAATAGTTTCTTGAATGAAAATTTTGCAAAGTGGATCAAGAAATTGATCAATTCCAACATATTCTACTTAATTTAAAAAGAAAAGAAATCATTTTGTTTTTGACTTTTTAATCTGTATTTATTATTATTATTATTATTATTATTATTATTATTATTATTATTATTATTATTATTATTATTATTATTTTTACGATTTTGCATTTTTGAGATTCTATTTCTTATGTCCTGTTTGACCTACATTTTTACCAAAAAAAAAAAATAATAAATACATTCTTACTTACATCATTTCAACCACACATTTTTTAATAAAATAATTTTTAACTACACATTTCCCATCAATACACTATCTTAATGCATTTTTTTTTTTTTTATGAAAACTAGTTTTGTGGCCATGCAATGCATGGCTTGAATTTTGTTGGAGTTGATATTAGTGTGTTAAGTATTAAAGATTTATGAGAGATGTACATAAAATAAGTTTTTGGGAAGCGAAGAAACTATCTAACATACAAATTACCATCAACTAATAAGGACGAATGTAGATTTAGAAAATTGATGTAGAAAACTCAAAAATATATGAAATGTCGAGACACTCAAGATTAACCAACATTCATAGAAACCGAACCAAGAAATGCAGAATGTAAAAGTGCAAAAATAATGAACAAGATGATTTTTTTCGGTCGAAACCCCAGAGGTTCAGTACAAGTGCCTAATCCCCTGTTGAGCATCCACTATCAATGTATTCAGCTCGATTGCACTATAAGGCCCCCAAAATCGGGCAGTAAGTATACAATGTTTCCAGAATATTACAATATACAAGTCACAAAGACTTATCTCATAAAGATTCACCAAGGCAGACCACGGTTCATGAAGAAATCATGAACAGATCACTCAGACACTTAAGTCACGGGTACTGCCATCTAAGAATCACATGACTTCACAAGTCATTATACAATATGTAAGCTATTCCACACAAGAAACACAAGAAATCACCAAGATTTCATCAAACCCGACTGCACATCACATGAAACCACTCGGGTTTCCATAAACTCAACGCGGCAGTTCAGTAGCTTAGAGATATATAACATATTCTGGATTAACTCAAGAAAGAGTTCTGAAAATCACTGAAGAACAGAGCCAAAATGAGAGATTCATCGAGAGAGAAAGAGAGGCGACTCAAAAAACCCTCGAACTCGAGAAGCCGAATGGAGTAAAAAATGAAAAGCCAACAGCCACCTAAACCATTTAGGGTTAAATACATAGAATGATCTAGAATCAGATCCAACGGCCAAGAGATTAGCACGTGTCACAATCCAGTTGACTCCTTCCATTAGTAAAGTGTCACTTTACAAAACACGCTTTTAATTAAAATTGTGGAAGCACAATTTAAATCAAAGTGATCAGCAGTTCGACTCCCAACAATCTCCACCTTGCTTCCATAATTTTAAGGCATATAGTGTAGCCATGAGCTTAACCAGCATTTATAGTTTCATATGCTCGGTGTACCTGTACATTTAATATAAAGAATCAATACATAATATCTTCAAACAATTTTCAAATTTGTTTAAAGGTATTACTTTAGTTCCCATGTCTGAGGGGTTGTTCAAGGTACAAATCTTATTTATTTTCAGCAGCCCTTTTGAAATAATATCCCTTATAAAATGGTATTTAACATCAATGTGTTTTGTTCTACTGTGGAACATTGGATTTTTACTCAAATGGATTGCACTTTGATTATCAGAAAACAGAATTAGATTAGTATCTACAAAACCAAGTTCATTTAGCAAACCATGCAGCCAGATGCCTTCTTTGATGGCATCAGTGGCTACAATATATTCAGCCTCGGTGGAAGATAGAGCAACAATTTTCTGCAACTGAGGTTTCCAGCTTATTACAGTGCCACACAAAGTGTAAAAATAAGATGAAGTGGATTTCCTATTATCTATATTTCCAGCAAAATCATAATCTGTATAACCTTTTAGAATTACCCCCTCTTTATCCATTTTAAACATCAAACCTAGGTTGGATGAACCTTTTAAGTATCTCGTTAACCATTTTAAGGCTTCCCAATGTGTTTCACCAGGATTCCCCATGAATCTACTCAAAACACTAATACTAAATGCCAAATCAGGTCTGGTGCAAATCATTAAGTACATGACTGATCCAATAGCATTGGCATAAGGTATTTTAGACATTCTTTCAAGTTCATCTTCAGTTTTAGGGCATGAATCAGATGTTAGAATAAAGTGATTAGCAAGGGGTAAAGTCACAGGCTTACAATCAAACATATTAAACTTCTTAAGGATCTTATTCACATATTCTTCTTGACATAAAATCAAGCAATCAGATTTTTCATCTCTTTTAATATGCATGCCAAGTATCTTCCTAGCAAAACCAAGATCCTTCATATCAAATTCTGATTTTAATTTGTGTTTGATATCATCAATTTCAGCTTTATTGGCACTAGCAAGAAGCATATCATTAACATAAAGCACAAGATACAAAAAATCTTTACCACCACTTCCTTTACAATAAAGACATGTATCATAATTGCTTCTACTAAACCCAAGTTTCAAGACAAATGAATCAAATCTTTTATATCATTGTCTTGGAGCTTGTTTTAGGCCATATAAAGATTTTTTTCAGCAAACACACAGTTTTTTCAGGATTTCCTTTTATAAATCCTAAAGGCTGATTCATGCAGATAATTTCATCCAATTCACCATAAAGAAAAGCAGTTTTTACATCCAGTTGATCAAGTTTCCATTTAAATTGCACAACTAAAGCAAGAATACATCTTATAGTTGTATATTTGACCACGGGGAAAAAATCTCATCATAGTCCACACCCTCCTTTTGTGTGAAACCCTTGGCAACTAGTCTAGCTTTGTATCTGACATTATTAGTGCCACCTTCCCCTTCCTTTATTTTATAAATCCACTTATAATCAACTAGTTTCTTATCCTTTAGTTTGTCAACCAATTCCCAAGTTTCATTCTTGTATAAGGAAGACATTTCTTCTTCCATAGCACTTAACCACCGCTTAGAATCTTTAGATTTCAAGGCTTGATGATAGGAACTAGGTTCAGATTCAATTTCTTCTTGGTAAGTGAACAAAGACACAAAATCATCACTATTAAACCTAGCAGGTGGTCTAATTTGCCTTCTATCCATATCTCTAGTGAGCTGGTACTCACCTAGGGGTGGAATTAAGTCATCACCTTGATCAGATTCAGTCAAATCAGGCTCATTCTCATTCTGGTCAGCCTCAGTACATTCAGTTTCTAGAGGGGCAGAACTGATATCATTAATTTTAGTAGGCTCCACCTCAATTTGGACATCATTTTCAGTCAAGTTTTCTTTCTTCCCTTCCAAACACGGCATACATGATTCATTAAAGACCACATCCCTCCTTATTATTACTCTATGACCCTTTTCCTCATAAACCCACAGCCTATATCCTCTAACATTTTCAGCATAGCCCAAAAACACACTTTACAAATCTAGGTTCAAGTTTCCCTATGTTTTGATGAGCAAATGCAGCACAACCAAATGTTTTCAAGTAAGAATAAGTAACAAGCTTTTCTGTCCACACAGATTCAGGCACATCATAGTTTAAAGCACTTGTAGGACTTCGATTAATCAAATATGCAGCAGTTTTTACAGCCTCACCCCGAAATAATTTGGGCAGGCCTGAACTTAAAAGCATGCATCTAACCTTATTTAATATAGTCCTATTCATCCTTTCTGCAATGCCATTTTGTTGGGGTGTGTAGGTTACAGTTTTGTGTCTTAAAATGCCATGCTCTTTACAAAAATTATCAAACTCATAGTTGCAAAATTCTAGACCATTGTATGTTCTTAAAGTCTTGATTTTCAAGTCAGTTTAATTTTTAATTTGAGTTTTCCAATCTTTGAAAATAGTAAAAGTTTCATCTTTGGTTTTTAGTAGAAAAACCCAAATTCTCCTTGAAAAATCATCAACAATCAACAAGTAATATTTATAACCAGACAATGTAGGGGTAGATGAAGGACCCCACAAATCAGCATGTAAATATTCCAGAATTTGCTTTGATTTATGAGTATTCGCAGGAAAAGGTAACTTAACTTGTTTTCCTACCAAACATCGTTCACAATTAGACAAGTCACCAATGTTTAGTTTTCCAAATACACATTTATTATGTAAAGCCTTTAACCCTTTCAACCCAATATGACCAAGTCTACAAGACCATAATTTTGCAAGATTATTTTTATCATCTAAAACTGTTGCTGAAAATCCAAGTAAAGGTTTTGCATTTAGAAAATATAAACCATGTCTCTTTGGGATAGAAGTGATTAAATAACTATTCCTAAAGATTTTTATCTGTCCTTGACCCAATTTATGTCAAACTCTATGTCATCCAATATTCCTAGAGACACTAGGTTTCTTTCTAATTCAGGAACAAATCTAGTACCCTTTAAAAGTAAAATTCTGCCATTTTCCAGAAGTAGTTTTATTGTTCCAATACCCTTTACTTTGCAAGTCATGTTATTTCCCATGATAACTGGCCACCTTTAGTTTGTTCAAGATCCAAAAAATAATTTTTGTTAGGGCACATGTGGAAAGAGCAACCTGAATCAAGAATTCATTCTTGATTTAGGTTCCTTTCAACATTTACAAGAACCAGGCCATAGTTCACATTTTGTTTATCATAGGATATAACATTGTTGCCTTCACTTATCTTCTTTTCTTTCAAATCATTTTGCTTTTTATAACAGTCTTTAGCAAAGTGACCCAACTTACCACAATAGTAACATTTCTTTCCCTTTGCCTTATATTTAGATTTCATTTTTTTAGGATTATTTTGAAACTTTGAATGAAAATTAGATGTACCAACATTCTTGCCCCTTAACAAAAGATTTTCTCCGCTTTGTTGGTTAATAGAATCTGATTTTAATTCAAGAACCTCATTTCTTAAGGCATTTGTTATGATGTCTGTGGTAAAATTTTCTCTACCATATTCCAAGGCATTCTTTAGATCTCTATGCCTATCACTAATGGAGTTCAACAAGACCACAGCCAACTGATCTTGTGATAATTTTTCATCACAGTTGGCTAGATCCTGGGTCAACTTTGTAAACCTATTCAAGTTTTCTTCTAAGTCAATAGATGGATCTATTTTGAAAGAAAAGAATTGTTTTAGCAAAAAACATTTGTTTGGAACAGTTTTTGGTTCATATTGTGCTTTCAATTTGTTCCACAATTCAGAAGTAGTTTTAGTTTCTCCTATGGTTCTGATCACATTGTTTGAAAGATATAAGAAAATGCTACTCCAAGCAGTTTCTTCTAACTCAGTTCTTCTACCAGGTGGTAACTCAGCAGGCCAAGAATTATCTAGGACTCTAGCACACCTTTGTTGCATCAAAATAACTTTCATTTTCTGACTCCACATACTAAAATCCCCCCTTCCATCAAACATGCTCATTTCAAACTTAGCAGTGGCCTCCATTGCAAGAAACACCAAGTTAATACATAGCACACAAGTTTGATCTCAAGAACACACAGGGATATACAATGTGGGGACTGCAGACTGATTAAGGGATCAGGGGTAAATTCAACAATGCACTTATGCACTTTTATCCAATCAGTAAACACTTCAACTGATTTACTCAAGCAATGAACACACAGCACTCAGTAAAGAAGCAGGAATATCAAACAAAGTTCACAATTCCTATGTATTTCAAAACTGAATTTCTCCAGCAGGACCTTCCAATTGCACACCTTACTGCGTTGTTATCTCAGATTCCTATGACTTCAAGAGTCTTAGGACAAAGACCAAGCACAGTAGGTTTTATAATGTAAGGTAAGTCGAGGGAAATATTCAGAAAATTCTACAGTAAATATTACCAGCAGAGTAATATAGGAAAGATCTCACCAAAATTCCTGCAGCCAGTGCTCACTGCAATTTGGAGCAGGTTTCAAGAATCCGGTTCCTTCAAGAATCAGGTGTCCTCAATATTCTCTGATATCACTGAAATGTCGAGACACTCAAGATTAACCAACATTCATAGAAACCGAACCAAGAAATGCAGAAAATAAAAGTGCAAAAATAATGAACACGATGATTTTTTCCGGCCGAAGCCCCAGAGGTTCAGCACAAGTGCTTAATCCCCTGTTGAGCATCCACTATCAATGGATTCAGGTCGGTTGCACTATAAGGCCCCCAAAATCGGGCAGTAAGAATACAATATTTCCAGAATATTATAATATACAAGTCACAAAGACTTATCTCATAAAGATTCACCAAAGCAGACCACGGTTCACGAACAAATCACTCAGACACTTAAGTCACGGGTACTGCCATCCAAGAATCACATGACTTCACAAGTCATTATACAATATGTAAGCTATTCCACACAGGAAACACAAGAAATCACCAAGATTTCATCAAACCCGACTGCACATCACATGAAACCACTCGGGTTTCCATAAACTCAACGCGGCAGTTCAGTAGCTTAGAGATCTATAACATATTCTGGATTAACTCAAGAAAGAGTTCTGAAAATCACTCAAGAACAGAGCCAAAATGAGAGATTCCTCGAGAGAGAAAGAGAGGCGACTCAAAAAACCCTCGAACTCGAGAAGCCTAATGGAGTAAAAAATGAAAAGCCAACAGCCACCCAAACCATTTAGGGTTAAATACATAGAATGATCTAGAATCAAATCCAACGACCAAGAGATCAGCACGTGTCACAATCCAGTTGACTCCTTCCATTAGTAAAGTGTCACTTTACAAAACACGCTTTTAGTTAAAATTGTGGAAGCACAATTTAGATCAAAGTGATTAGCAGTTCGACTCCCAACAATATAGATGTTGCAAATTTTGTCTCTACTACAAATATTATGAAGGAAATCATAAAGGTTCAAACACAACATTATATCGTTGTCCTCAAACGATATTTACCCCCTCTTGTATATAATTTTGGTACTTAAAAGATCTCGCGGCAAACGTTTGAAGGATTGATCAAACCTTGTTGTAGAAAATCATAAAAGCACAAATAATTTTCTACCCCAACTTGAAGAACACAAGAGGAAAGAATTGAATATGGAAGAAAGGATGTTTGATCATTTTTGTGGAATGAAAATAATGTTTCTCATATGTTTGTAATATGATTTTTTAATATTTGTAGTAATCCCTCCGTCACCTATTTATAGATTTGGATCAATATCCCACGAAATGGTGCCAAACATATTGAAGAGTTGTTAAAAAACCGCCAAAATTTTAAATCTTAACGGCCTCCAACGGCCATTTTCTAAGTACTATGCGACCGCATGGTACAACACCATGCGGTCACATGGTTCAACAATATCACGGCCCCAATTTTCTTGCCTCGCATGGCCAGCTTGCCATGCAGTCGCATGGCACACACAATGAGCCATCGTTTCAGATTTTTTCATTCCATTTCTTTTCACTTTCATTCCACATACATGTTTATTGATTTTGAGCAACATATTTTCAACACAAACTTCAATAAAGGCAACTCTCTTGCGCCCACTATTCAACTGAAAAGAATGTCCAAGGGTTTATTTAAAACGACACACAAATCATGGTCAACAAAGAACTTCACGAGGTACTTGAACAGTTTAAATGGGAACTTTGAGTTATGATCCCAGTGTTCCAACCTAGACTTCAAACTATTTTTGAAAAGAAGCCATCCCATTTCTTGGATGAAATTCATGGCTTGATTGTGTGCTTCTAATTTTTCAGTGCCTCGGGGGAGCGAATCTGTCACAACCAATTCTATTTTACTCTCAAGCATACAGATCTCGGTGCAAACATCATCCTCAGCAACTATGCATGGAAAGAAGCTGCTGCTGACATCATGATCTTCAACCTGAATAATTTCAGATAGAATACCAACGTTAGCTAGCATGAAAATTTCAATGGCCACCATGCCACATTATGTGGGAATAATTAACGAAGATCCATAACATGGACATTTTCTCTAGGTAAAAATCAAGTCAATGCAAAAAGTCACACAAAATTAGTCTCAATTAATATGTTTTATTATTAGCTTTCCCAACATATAAGTGATGATGCACAAAACTAATGCATATAGTAACTATGAAAAACAACATACTAAAAAACCAAAACATAATGGAATAAATATAACCTTGATCAAGCCTCTCCCAGTAACTGCAGAAATAGTACATCACAATAGAAAGGTCTTTGGTTCGAAGTTCATCTGCCACAGAAAGTAAAGCCAAAGCAATCCCTTGTCTACCTAGCCAAGCAGCATTAATGTTGTCCTCCCCAAATCCAGCATTATGGATATATACAGAGATTAGTATTGACAGTGATTCCTGTACATGCTATAGAATAAATGTATGTACCATTTACATAAACAAACCCTGACCAATAATATAAGGAGACTAAGAAAAGCATGAACAGCAATACAATAGCAAGGATATGACCTATTTCTCTTCTCATACAATCATTTGGAAGCCCATCAACAAACAGAATGTTGCCAATCATACTGCAAATATTGTCAATCTTACTGAAGAAAGCTCATGTGTTCCTTCTCCATCTTTTATTATATTTCCATTAGCTACAGATGTAGTAGTTTAACAATGAAAAAAATATTCAGTCTGCTAATTGAAAAAAAAAAATCAAATTTGACAACATATATAGCCCTTGTTTGATCCCCATTTTTTCAAGAATGCATTTTTTAAAAACTCATTTTCAACCATACATTCTTCTATAAAATAATTATACACGAATTTCAAAAAAATTTCCTTACTTTTTAACCACACATTCTCCAAAAAACTACTTTTCCATAATTCATTTTATCCCAAAAATAGGAATCAAACAGAGGCATATATATATGTTATTAGAACATGAAATAAGCCTAAAACTTCATTATTTTCCAGCAACATTAACAAATTTGATGCATAATTAAAACATATACATCATATAAATAGATAAAGAAAAATGACCTATGTAGTTAAATCTATAGTAGAGAATTCCTTCCATAGGTCCTGAAATCAAGTCAAGATATATTCCATCCTCAATTTAAAATGACTCATGCATAAAAAAAAAATAAAAAAAAAATTATGAAGTACAACAATAGAAGAAAATAGGAGAATTAGGGAAAAAAAATTACAGACAAAAATACCTCGACTTTGGATAGCTTGCCTTTATCCAAGTTTTCCAAAAGGGCAAATCCAGCAGGGTTTTGAACAACATTATTATTCTTGCTTGAAATTGTCGACCAGTCAACAGCCACCAAAAATTACAGCTCTTCTTGAGTTGGGGTTTAGGGGGAAAAAAAAAACCTGAGAGTGAGAGTTGAGAGGTTTGTACATTTGAAGCTCTAGATAAAAATAGTAAATTTTAAGAACAAAAGTTGAACTTAAAAACTCTAAAACTGTTATACCTGTCCAAGTTTGTGTGAGAGAGAAAAAAATACAAAAGTAACAAACAAGAGTTCAAACAGTTCCCCTGATTAAGCTTTTCCTAGCCACATTGATGATTGATCACCTTCGCTCATCAATGAAATAGAACCTTTTGTAACTTATAATATTTGGAATTAATACATTTAAGATTCCAAGTTAATATAGAATCTATGGAAGTATGACTTCTTCCATCATAAATCAACATTTTTTATCTTGATTTGAAGAGTAGGGTTCTATAAAAACCTAAAAAAAATTGAGTGCTTCAATGACAGAAGACAACTAACACATAATCAAAGTCTACCATAAATGAAAAATGGGAAAATGAAATAGCTACCTTGGCTTCCTCCTTAACTGGTGCATCTTCAGCAGGAGCAGCTTGGCTTCCAACTCAGACTCCAACAGCCTTCTCAGGATAGCTATACCATTATGCATAAAATGTTGTCAATAAAAACTAAAATTCCGAGATACTCATAAATAAGTATAGACAATAAAAAATAGCTTCTTTTGGGTTTTTAACAAAAAATAACAAAAATAATATTGGGGGAAAATAGGATTATATTTCGGATTTTTTTTTTTTTAAAAAATGTAGGAGAAACGTGCTAATGGTGAAATAAATGCATAAGCTTCTTGAATAGGCACACGGTGATGATTACGACTTTCGTTCCTAAATTTAGGGGTTGTTTGAGCCACATTATTTTGGTAATAATGCATTTTTGAATAGTGTATTGATGGGAAATGTGTGGTTAAAAAATAAGGAAAAAATTTTGATCTACATGTAATATTATTTTATTGAAAAATGTGTGGTTGAAATAATATCAAATTACTGTTTAAAAATGTATTTTTTTGAAATAATGTGGCTCAAACAGCCTCTTAATCAACTCTCAAACTACCCAATTGTAAAAAGGGCTTAGATTCGCTTTAGCAATACTTGCTTTACTCTTGAGAGGTCGAATTATTAATTCATTACTTTTCTCTGAATAAGCTAGTCCGACATCCCAAAGAATTAATAAATAATAAAAAGAATAAGAAGTCAAAATTACAATGGAATAAATTACTTAGCTGTGAGCTTCAATGGAACACTTTCATACCACTAACTGGCATTAGGGTACACATCACCACTCGACTTCTCCAAAATAGCTACATACACTTTAATATCATCTTTCGTCAATTGATCCTACAATTTGCATAATTAGACCAAAAATGTAAAAATCGTAAAATATATATTCTTGTTAAATCATTGCTATGAAGTATAAAAACAATAATTAGTTAGTAACTATAATTTACACAATAAAACATATAAAAATAACAATAATGAGATACGACTTCGGAGATGTAAGATTTGCCAGAGAGAAATTTGTTAGGGGCTTTCAGGTCGGATTCTATGTGCACATCTAAGATAGTAACAACCATTTTAGTGATCTTAGAGAGAGAAATGATGGTACTGGAACCTAGAGAGAGATACTCTGACGACAGAGAGTATAGAGAGAAGTAAGAGTAGAGACTCGTTGTTACAACATACAAATCGTTGACCTTGGAACTATCCTCCTCGATCTTCTCTTTTTGAGGCTTCAATCTCTCCTAGTTCTCCATGAACATTCCATTAGTAAATAATCTTTCATTTGCTCTTGAGGCCACGTATTTTAGATAAAAGCAAACATAATATTTAATATTTAGTAAATCTTTTAGTCACAGCACTCTTTTATGGATATATAGATTACCACTTTCATTTACCAAAGATTTAGCACTTAGAGTGAACAAGTCTTACATTAGCATATCAAGAATTTCAATTGCATTGCAATTGAATTTAACATAGGAGCATCGGGAAATCATAGGCTAGACAATGACTATAGGTGTTGGGAATCTACTCGAACATGCGCAGCGAAAATTAAAACAGATTTCGATTCCCACCAAGAATCATATTTGTGTTTAGATAGAAATTGTGATAAAAAGATGTACCTTTGAAAAATTCCGCAAACCTTTTGCCATTCTCTTCGTTTCAGCAACTTCAATCTGTCATCCACAACTTTTCAATTGTTCAACCTGCAACGGTGATTCACACAGAGAACAAAATTACAGGATTAAGATTTTTTTATTGTGCTAGCAAGAATAATAAAATTCTCTACAAAATTGTAAACCTTAATCAGTTATTTGTATAAGCCCAAACGGGTTTGGCCTGACCCGATCTAATATTTAATTAATCAATTTAATTGAATCTGATCCATGAATTAATTAATCCTATTAATTAATTCGAGCCTATAAATAACCAACCAAATTAATTAACTTATCCAACGATTGTTAAATTAATTAATTGACAAATTGCAATCTTCAAATTCTCTTTTGTATGTGCCCATCAGGTTCCCAATCACTATGCCTAATGACGTGAAATATTATTTTGATCTAATAAAAATTGATAAATTAAAACACCATTTTAGTTTATCACAAATTCACACTCGCCGTCCCAAATTGACATCTAGCAATGTGTCAAGGCAATACATGTGACGAAAAATGTCACGTGATATGACAAAATCAAACTCGTTCGTTTACCGTGAAACTATAATCTCTTCGTGAATATGATCCTATTATCGATCATATCTTTCACTTCACTATTAAGTCAATATAAGTCGAAAACTCCTTTTCGACTTATGAGTACACCTTGGCCAAGGATTTCGTTATCGATTTAATTGAATGAAACGCGGATCATAATCTCTTGCTATCTAAGAGTGACGAATCCTCTATTGGTCATTCACAACCTTTATACGATTATTGACATATCCGAACGATATCGTATTAGCGGCCCTTGGCAGAGCAACATCCAACACCGTCAAAGTATGATTGTCCTCATATAAGATACCATGACGACCTTAAGTTAAAGGAACAATTCCACTCCCGAACGTTAGAGATTAATCGCTGACACTCAGATAGTTATCCATGTGGAATCTCTTGGTGGGTCTCCAATGTTTTGTTCTATAACAAAACATCTACATGTTCATTTAAGTCACCACTCTTTAACTTGTGAGATCAACTACTTACTTCACAAATAAGAAATGTCACACGTGATGGTCTATCCGTAATAACGATATCTGTATCTTGTTATTACTTATGACCACGGACGATTTAAAATTTAATCATATGTAATTTGTATCTCGCAATCACAGCTCCTTGTAATTAACAAATTACAAAGATTTAAATCTACGAACTCTATTATTTAATTTAATTGTCTATTAATTAATTAATAGATCTGTCATTAAATTGCATTAACTATATATTAAAAGTATTTATGTCCAAGGTTGATTGGACCTATGGCATAACACTTACAAACTCACACTTACACTAGATCCAATCACTTGTGTATCATATATCATAAGAGTCTACATGACGATCATATTTATGGTACGACAACTCTTTGTCAGTGGATCTGCAATATTGTCAAATGTGAGAATTTGTTCTTCTCTTTACATCGTTTTTATGTATTATCTCTCTGATGAGATTATACCACCTTAATATATATTTGGATTATTGATGAGACCTTAGTTCCTTCGCTTTTGCGATGGCTCTATTGTTATCACAATACAATGGCATGTGATCAACAATATTAGAAACCACTCCAAGTTCATTAATCAATATTTTGATCCACATTGCAACTCTTTGCTAATTCTTAAATAATTGTGTATTAGGTTTTCGTTATTGAATCAACGATTGTTTCATGTTTGGAACATTTCCAACACACCGTTTAAGAGTAAGCCAATTTCTTCATATAAAATCTTTTCGAGATTTTATCTATATAGATTGGAATGAATTAAGAAATCTTCTAGATCTATCTCTATAGATCAAGTTTCTTCCCCATATCGTTTATGAATAAATCCTTTAACAACTATTATTTTAACGATTGAAATACAGGGATATCGTTTCTTATAATATTAGGAATATGACAATGCTCACACTATCTTCTTGTAAACACATAATTAGTCTTCATATTTGATAAAATCAAACATTTTGATTTTTCCATCAAATCGAAAATTTTAGCTCCAAGAGACTTGTTTTAACCCATAGTCATGGTATGCAACTAATGCAATCAAAATTCAAATGGACTTTAGCATGGCTACAGGCGAAAGGTTTCGTCAAGGTCAACACTTAACCTTTTGCTACTAGCCTTGCTTTGAATGTACGAATATTCTCATCCGTCTCGACCTTTTCCTTATAAACCATTTATAACCTACGGGTTTTATCCCATCAAGAGGGTCAACCAAGGTCCAAACCTTGTTCACATACGTGAGTTCATTTCGAATTTTATGGTGCTGTCTCTTTTAAGTTAACACTTTATTTTTGTGCAATTAGTAGGTTCATCATCCTTGGATCAGTAATACCTAATTAGTAATCACTGATTCGCACTTTCTTGAAGGTCGAATGATCCTACTAGATTCACACATAACTGACATGTCCTCAAGAGTCTCTATTTCCTGATCAAGAGTATGTTCCACATTAGATATGGGATCAAACTCGAATTCATCTACTTAGTTAACTATATCTGTGGACTCTTAAACTTTTTCAAGTCCTATTTTGCTCCCACTGTCATCTTCTAGAGTAAACATTTTCTCTAAGAGGACGATATGTCGTGAGATGAAGAATTTCTTCTCAATGGGTTAATAGAATTGATATTTAAATATTTGTTTTGGATATCCCACAAATATGTATTTATCGGATTTAGTCTCAAATTTATCCGATTCAATGCGCTTCAAATAAGCGTCATAGTCCCATACTTTCATATGAGATAAATTGGGACTATTGCCTTTCCATAGCTCATATGGAGTTCTGTTAACCAACTTAGATGTAACATGATTTAGTGTGATGTACACTGCAATCAGTGCATAACCCCAAAAATAGCTTTGGGAGATTTGAATGGCTTGTTATTAATCGCTCTATATCTAATAGTTTACGATTTCTCTTTTTCAAATACACCACTTTGTTGCAACGTATATAGAAGAGTCAACTGCAAGAGAATCTCATTCTCTATTAGATAATCTAAAATTTCATCTTTAAGATATTCTTCACTTTGATTAGACCTTAGTGTAAAAGTATCATTTCCTATTTGTTTCTCTACTTCTAACTTGAATCCTTCGAACCCTTTTCAGGAGCTCATGCTCGAATTTCATCAAATATACATAGCCATTTCCAAAATAGTCATTAGTAAATGTGATGAAATAAGAGAAATCTTATCCAGCATTAACTGACATGGGTCTACATACATCACTATGTATTAGACCAGTGATCGTGCTGATATTTCTCCCTTTCAAATAAAAAGAGATTTGGTCATTGTGCCTAATAGACATGATATGCACTTGTCAAATAATTCAAAATCAATTGATTCCACATATACATCTCTATGTAATATTGAAATTGCATTTCATCTATATGACCAAGTCTGCAATATCAGATTTAGGTACTATTTAGATTATCACTTTTATACCTTTTAACTTCTATACTCATTATAGAATGCTTAGTGTTCAGAATATAAATGTTATTTGTGGTTGACCATAACCATTAAGATCTTAATCAAGATAAGCAGGAACAACAATTGTCCTTAACATTAAATAGTTCATGTCCGAACATGAAAATCATTTTAATGTCCCAGCTATGGTGGATACAAAACAACATTTTTCTAATTCCAATACAAGCCTGAAGGCAACGACAAGAAGTATGCTCCTATAGGCAATGCGGGAATCCTTGCTCATCTTCAACATGTAGATCAACTTCTCCCTTTCGCAATGGTGTACTTCAATTTAGTTTCTCCATATTTTTATAAATATGAGAACCATATCTGGTATCAAATACCTAAAAAACTCATAAAGTAGAGGTAAGTCTTGCAATATTTCTTCCAATGACCTTTCATTCTATAATGAAACCAAAGGTCATTAGACTTGATATTGTCCTTCACTTTGACGGTCATAGCCATATTGGACACTTTCACAAAGCTCCTTTAGACTTCCTCTTAATATCCTTAGAGGAATCAATGACTTGTCTACTCGTAACTTTGATATTGGGCATAACAGTTTTAAGCATGTTAAGCAATTTAATAATTGTGAATTCGAGTTTATTCACATTAAATTCATAATTAGCTGTGAATAGCTTTCTCTAACAGAGATTACAGAACCAAATCACTACTTAGTTCATTGTTTATGATTGAATTCAATTGAGACATGTCTCAACGTCAATCATCTTCAGCGTCTAAGCATCGACTGAAGATTACTCTGTCATTTTGCATCGGTATAGTTGCTTGGAAGTCTCATATCCTTCCACACATGATTATTATCATACAACTCTTTGAAATGAAAAATCATGCATGGGAATCTATACTCTCAAGTTGCTTTTGTAGCTTATGTGACATAGTTACAAGCATCACATATATGCAGTACTATCTTTATCATTGTGTTTATTACAATAGTCACCCTTTCTTAACTGAGTCATCAACGGGTGTCTCTGGAAAGGGCTACTCAATGACGTAACCAATTTTCTCATACTTGAAAACAATTTTCAAGTTACGGTGCTAATCAAGAAAATTTAATTTGATTGTTGGCATTTAGTATGCCATTCAAAACATATGGTTACTCAAGATTTAATCTAAATGACGAAAAGAAAAGAATAATATATAAAATGCATCAATTAATTGAACATAGACTTTTATTAAATTAATTATGCTCCAACTATTTAACTAAAGTTATGACCCTTTTAAATAAATTTATGGAGTCTATACTTGACTCCCAATGGGCTAGGATCCCATGTGTTATACCAAGACCTTGAGTGTACTCAACAAATCTTAATATAACATTTGGGTAGATATTATTATCAATTGTATCTCCATACAACTCCTAGATCAATAAGCTGACAACTCTTTGTCTTCACACATTTTATGTGTTAGCTTAACATACCTCTAAAATTTATCTCCTTAAGTGTACTTAACAAAAGATAAATTTTAGTTAAGTTGGACCCATCATTTAGAAATATCTAATATTTCATAGTGTCAAATATATCCCTAATAGACTAGCATTGAATGTACTCAACAAGTTGAGATGATTTGGGACTCTGATTTTTCATTATAATGATGGAAGGCGAATAATAAATTGTCTTAATATTTTTTCGAGGGATTTTGCATTTAAAAGTTTCATCAACAACGATACAATCATTTATATTTTATTATACATCTACCAAACAAATAAACATATATATAATATAAAATAATAGTGTGGACGATTATGAACTTTTACTATCTAGTCTTCACGAGCCATGAGGAATACTAGTTGGTCAATTCCTATGGGGGTATTGCATTGACTCATATAATGCTCCATCTTCATGGTCTCATCCTCTTCTTGTTTCTTCAATTAGTCCAGCTGCAACATGTATCCTATACTAGTTGGCATGCAGACCTAAATGAAATTGGACTCGCAGGCCCAAGATAACAATAACAATAATGGACTCACAGATCCAAAATGATTAGGAGCTCGCAGGTTCGTAAAACGACAAGAATAAAATTAACCAATCAACACATTCACATGGTCGAGTCCATAATCGTCCACAAATAATACATTTATCACATAAATGTATGCCTATATAATATCTAATATTATATGCAGACACGTTTCAAGTTTCTAGATTTAAGGTTGTATAAACTCTTTTAAACAAATGGATTGGAACAATTAAATAATTAATCAATTAATTTAATTAGCACGGATATTTAATTAAAATTTTAAAATTCAAGGCAGTTGAATTTAATCAAAATCAAATTTTAATTAAATAACAAAATTAGAGTCCAACTCTAATTTCAAAATTTCAGGGCAAATTTATTTAATTAAAATTATATTTTAATTAAATGCCAAATTAGAGTCCAACTCTAATTCCAAGAAAAATTTAAGGGCAAGACAATTTAATTAAAATCAAATTTTAATTAAATGTTAAATTAGAATCCAATTCTAGCTTCTAGAATATATTCGGGGTGAATAATTAATTAAAATCAAATTTTAATTAAATGCTAAATTAGAGTCCAACTCTAAAATAAATTGAATTAATATTTTAATTTATGGTAACATTCCTAAATAAAATAAAATTCAATTTAGGGTCAAGTTTAATATTTAAGTTAAAATCATATTTTAACGAAAATATTGAAAGTCGTCAATTTTTAAATAAAATTTTTACTTTGGGTCAAAATTAAATTTATAGGTCAAACCCATTCAAATACATTTTAAAACACATTTAAAATTCAAATTTAAAACTCATTTTGAAATTTGCAAATTGACCCAAATTTAAAATTAAAAGGAAGTCCTTCAATTAACTCAATTGCATGATAGGTCCTCCAATTAAAATTGCAAAGTGACCCCTTTCGTTTAATTGCAGGACGTTCCTTGAAATTTCAAAAATTGCAGAGCAGGTCCTCCATTTAAAATTTGCAATTTGACCCTGTCATTAGTTGCAAGCGGGGGCTTACATTTTCAGAAATTGCAAGACATACCCCCGTCTCCATTCACCCTCAACCGACTAAAACCCTAGAAATTTCCTTCCTTCCTCCTTTTTTTGTTTAATCTTTGGCATCGGCGCCACAACAGTAACATGCGATGCGCTGCATGTTGCAGCAGTGTGCCCCAGTGTCCGGCAGCATCTCACGCTGCTGCAGCCAGCTGCCAGCTCTGCTGCTAGGCGTCGGCAACAATTGTTGCCGCTGACTAGTCCTCCTACCTTTTTTTTTTTTTTAAATTATTCCGACCCAAAAAATTTATTTTCTATTCAAAACTAACTTTGAAGATAAAATAAATTTCTAATTGCTAGAAACAGAAAATCAACAATCAACTTTTGATTATTCATATATTTAAAACAATTTCTAACAAACACAAAGTCGGCATTGATACCACTGTTGGGAATCTACTCAAACATGCATAGCGGAAATTAAAACAGATTTTGATTCCCACCAGGAATCGTCGTTATATTTAGATAGAAATTGTGCTAAAAGATGTACATTTGAAAAATTCTGCAAACCTTTCGCCATTTTCTTCGTTCCAGTAACTTCAATCTGTCACCCACAGTTGTTCAATTGTCCAGTATCCAATGGTGATCTGCACAGAGAACAAAATTGCAGGATTATGGTTTTCTTCTTGTGCTAGTAAGAAGAATAAAATTCTCTACAAAATTGTAAACCCTAATCAGTTATTTATATAAGCCCAAATGGGTTTGGCCTGACCCGGTCCAATATTTAATTAATTCATTTAATTGAATTTGATCCGTGAATTTATTAATTAATTCGAGCATATAAATAACCAATCAAATTAAAACTTATCCAACGATTGTTAAATTAATTAATTGACAAATTGCAATCTTTCAATTCTTTTTTGTGTGAGACCCATCAAGTTCCCAATCACGATGCCTAACGACATAAAATATTATTTTGATCTAATCAAAATTGATAAATTAAAACACCATTTTAATTTATCACAAATTCACACTCGCCGTCCTAAATTGATATCCAACAATGTATCAGGGCAATACATGTGACGAAAAATGTCACGTGGTATGACAAAACCAAACTCGTTCGTTTACCGTAAAAACTATAATCCATTCATCAATATGATCCGATCAATTACAAGATATGAAAGTATGTCAATCCCAATTATCAATCATATCTTTCACTCTACTATTAAGTCAATATAAGTCGAAAACTCATTTTCGACTTATGAGTACACCTTGGTTAAGGATTTTGTTATCGACTTAATTGAATGAAACTCAAATCATAATCTATTACTATCTAAGAGTGACAAATCCTCTATTGATCATTCACAACCTTCATACGATTCTTGACATACCCGAACGATGCCGTATTAGTGACCCTTGACAGAGCAACATTCAATATCGTCAAAGTATGACTGTCCTCATATAAAGTACCATGACGACCTCAAGTCAAATAACCAATTCCATTATTGAATGTTAGAGATTAACCGCTGACACTTAGATAGTTATTTATGTGGAATCTCTTGGTGGGTCTCCAATATTTTGTTCTATAACAAAACATTTATGTGTTCACTTAAGTGTCACCACACTGTAACTTGTGAGATCAACTACTTACTTCACAAATGAGAAATATCACAAGTGGTGGTCTATTCGTAATAACGATATCCATATCTCGTTATTACTTACGACCACGAACGATTTAAGATTCAATCATATGTAATTTGTATCTCACAATCACAACTCCTTGTGATTAACAAATTACAAAGATTTAAATTTACGGACACTATTATTTAATTTAATTTTCTATTAATTAAATAATAGATTTGTCATTAAATTGCATTAATTATATATTAAAAGTATTTATGTCCAAAATTGATTGGACCTAGAGTATAACACTTACAATAGGCTCTTGTAACAAACAAAAATACATGTACGAAAAAGAAATAAGATAAGAAAAGCATACCATCGTGGTCCAATTGATTCTACACCTTCAACAATGTATCAAGTCAAATGCCTGAAGCATACCAGCTTGATGCCTACTTCTTCTCCATTCTGTATGGTCACACTTGTGTCAATGATGGATAAATGATCTATGACAATGAACAATAATCCCTTAATATTAACATAAAAGGACCAAAACTAAAAGAAAAACAAATACATTTAATTAACAAGTCCGTTGTAAAAATAAAAAAGCACCTAAATAAAGTTCACTAAATAAACCACTCCCAATTTTCCTCCCAAGCTACAATTTTTTACTCACAGCATGTTCCATGGCATTTGATTTAATTCAATAATTCCCCAAATTCCAATAGCATATTACCACCTCCAACACCCAGAACCCAATTTCTTCTTCTTCTTTTTTTCAATTTTAACGACAGTTCAAGATGATGATGATGATGATGATGATGATAAAACAAATTGCAGACAATGGAAATCCAACAATTAGGATGAAATCCTCGATCTAACAAAAACAAAATTAAAATTAAGTCATCGTCCGATCCAAGAAATCAATTGATCACAAAGTTTCCCGTTTGAATTCTTCAACTACATCCTTCAACGGATACCAAAACCCAAATATTTAAACTACAATCAATCCTCGTTGATTGAAAATAACATACAAGCATACAATTTCTAAACTGATATTATTAAAATTCAGAAACTAAATGTTTCTTAGCTTAGTTTTACTTTTTCATAGAAAGTGAGATTAATTGGAGTGTGAAGATTGTGAGGGAAGATAAACGAACTAGAATTGAGAGATTAGAGAGAAAATAAGAGAAAAAGGGTAGGAAAAAAAGGAAAGGAAATGAAATGGTTAAGGAGAAAAACATAGATGAAATTCAAATAGAAATAGGGGCAGTAAAAATTAATCCTCAAACCTTAAGTGAAGTAATTCTTGAAACAGACCTTCATTGTCAACAATAATTTGCTCAAAGTACTGCCATAGACAAGGAGCTGGTTCACGACAGCGATATTGAGGTACAATGCGCCGCACACTAACTTCTTGAGTACGTTGTCTTTCCAACTTCGTAAAGATCTTTGTCTCTTAAATCGTCACCGTCCTTTCTTCGATGACTGGACATCAGTGATTTTTGGGTGATACGATTACTGAGTTTTGAAGTGGTTTGAAACGAAGGCCGAGATTGCAAAATCGAGGGTTTTCGATTTTTGTAGGAAAAAAGAAGACTTTGGATTTTCCAAACGCAAGGAGGAGATTACAGTTATTCCTACTCCCGACTGCCACCTTGCTACTTCAAACAAAAATTTCTCCTCAGCCTTCTTTTGAAAGGGAAAGAGAAGGAAGAATTCAATTTTCTGTAAATGGCCTTTAACCCATAGAAAGTTTTTGCTTTTTTGCAGTTAAAAAGGTGTGAAGATATTTTCTAATGAATAGTGGGAACCAATTTGACTACAGTGGGGAATGGGTTTGAGAAACTGAAGTGTGAACACTCTGCCACCAAAATGGACAGTACTTGGCCGATTCTCTATTTTAAGGTAAAGGTCGATAATGTGGCTCAAATAAGAGCTTAAATTAGTTTAATTCTATTAAAGGTGCATGTTGAATTGCAAGGGTTAATTTCACAAACGGTCACTGAACTTGCTCGAAAATTATAAAACGGTCACTGAAGTTTAAAATTTTCAGTAACGATTACTTAAGTTTCCAGGCACTTTTACAAATGGTCAGTAAAATTTAAAAACTTTCAGAAATGATTACTGAAATTTAAAAATTTGCAGAAACGGTCACTAAAATTTAAAAACACTTTCAGTTTTTGGGCTACTTTTGCCACAACTTTTTGGCCAATTTCGACACCCCACTGAACTTGCTCGAAAATTATAAAACGGTCACTGAAGTTTAAAATTTTCAGTAACGATTACTTAAGTTTCCAGGCACTTTTAGAAATGGTCAGTAAAATTTAAAAACTTTCAGAAATGATTACTGAAATTTAAAAATTTGCAGAAACGGTCACTAAAATTTAAAAACACTTTCAGTTTTTGGGGCTACTTTTGCCACAACTTTTTGGCCAATTTCGACACCTGATACCATCGAATTTTGATACTATTGAAAAGCTCACAATGTCATCTTCAATTAACATCCAAAATCTCCCCGTAACTCCAAGATCTTTGACTAGAAAATCGCTGCAAAATTTGACAAAAAAATATGAAAATGAAAATCTGTCCAGATTTTCATATTTTTTTGGCGACTTTTGCTGCAATTTTTCAACGACTTCCGACCACTAAGACTATCGAATGTTGATATCGTTGGAAAGCCCACAATATTCTCTTCAATTACCATCCAAAATCTCCCCCAAACTCCAAAGGATTCGAAAACTGAAATGGTCAACGAGAAAAACATAGATGAAATTCAAGTAAAAATAGGGGCAGTAAAAATTAATCCTCAAACCTTAAGTGAAGTAATTCTTGAAACAGACCTTCATTGTCAACAATAATCTGCTCAAAGTACTGCCATAGACAAGGAGCTAGTTCACAACAGCGATATCGAGGTACAATGCGCCGCACACTAACTTCTTGAGTACGTTGTCTTTCCAGCTTCGTAAAGATCTTTGTCTCTTAAATCATCACCGTCCTTTCTTTGATGACCGGACATCCGTGATTTTTGGGTGATACGATTACTGAGTTTTGAAGTGGTTTGAAACGGAGGCCGAGATTGCTGAATCGAGGGTTTTGGATTTTTGTAGGAAAAAAGAAGACTTTGGATTTTCCAAACGCAAGGAGGAGATTACAGTTATTCCTACTCCCGACTGCCACCTTGCTGCTTCAAACAAAAATTTCTCCTCAGCCTTCTCTCGAAAGGGAAAGAGAAGGAAGAATTCAATTTTCTGTAAATGGCCTTTAACCCATAGAAAGTTTTTGCTTTTTGCAGTTAAAAAGGTGCAAAGATATTTTCTAATGAGTAGTGGGAACCAATTTGACTACCATGGGGAACGAGTTTGAGAAACTGAAGTGTGAACACTCTGCCACCAAAATGAACAGTACTTGGCCGATTCTCTATTTTAAGGTAAAGGTAGATAATGTGGCTCAAACAAGGGCTTAAATTAGTTTAATTCTATTAAAGGTGCATGTTGAATTGTAAAGGTTAATTCCACAAACGGTCACTGAACTTGTGCGAAAATTATAAAACGGTCATTGAAATTCAAAATTTTCAGTAACGGTTACTTAAATTTTGGGGCACTTTTAGAAATGGTCGGTGAAGTTTAAAAACTTTCAAAAACAGTTAATGAAGTTTAAAATTAATGGAAACGATCACTAAAATTTAAAAACACTTTCAGTTTTTGGGGCTACTTTTGGGGCAACTTTTTGGCCACTTTCGACACCCGATACCATCGAATTTTGACAATGTTGAAAAGCTCACAATGATATCTTCAATTAACACCCAAAATCTTCCTGTAACTCCAAGATATTCGACTAGAAAATCGCTGCAAAATTTGCCCAAAAAATCTGCCTAAATTTTCAGATTTTTTGGACGACTTTTGCGGCAATTTTTCGACGACTTCTGGCTACTAAGACCATCGAATTTTGATATCGTTGGAAAATCCACAACATCCTCTTCAATTACCATCCAAAATCTCCCCAAGACTCCAAATGATTCGGATGGAATAAACCCACAAAATCGGCTACCCAAAAAGGCAAAAATCTGGTCAAATTTTTTGGGCTACTATTGAGGCAACTTTTCGGTAACTTCCAACCACTAATACCGCCAGATTTTGATACCATTGGAAAGCCCACAATGTCCTCTTCAATTACCACTAAAAATCTCCCCTCAAACTCCAAAGGATTCGGCCAGAATAAACCCCCAAAATTGGCCACCAGAAAATGCGAAATTTTGGGCAGATTTTTCAATTTTTTGGACTACATTTTGTAGCAACTTTCCGGCAACTTCTGACCACTAAGACCGTCGGATTTTGATACCGTTGGAAATCCCACAATCTCATCTTCAATTACCACCCAAAATCTCCCCATAACTTCAAATGATTTGGCTGAAATAAACCTACAAAGTCGACTACTCAGATTCAGGATGTTGATTTTGTGGGTTTATTCCAATCGAATCCTTGGGAGTTTGGGGGAGATTTTGTATGGTAATTAAAGAGGACATGTGGACTTTCCAATGGTATTGAAATTCGACGGTCTTGGTGGTAGGAAGTTGTCGAAAAATTGTCCAAAAATTTTTTTGGCGTGACTTTTGCGCCGATTTTTCAGTCAAATCCCTTGGAGTTATAAGGAGATTTTGGGTGGTAATTAAAGAGGACATTGTGAGCTTTCCAACGATATCAAAATTCGACGGTATCGGTGGTTGAAAGTGGCTGAAAGTTGACACAAAAGTATCCCAAAAAATTTAAAAAATATTTTTAAATTTCAGTGACCGTCTTGTAATTTTCGCACAAGTTCAGTGACCGTTTATGAAATTAATCCATACGGAAATTAATTACAGAACATATAAGACCGTTAAAGTAAAATATTCATAATTAAGCCCCTATTTATTTCTTATTCTTTTTCCATTAAAATAAAAAATATTATTGTTATCCATCATATCAAACCATCAAATTTGAATTTTTATCTCTTGTATTGGGCCATGGCGATTATATTTTTTATTATCATTTTTATAAAATTGGAAAACAAACGTCCTAGTTAAAAAACTCAAATTAGGAAATTAATAACCCTAGGGACGAAATTCGTAATCCGTAATCTGCCACGATTAACTGCCTTCGTCCAAAATGTTTTGATCTCGTGACCGTTACGTTAGGACAGGGCTCGATTCTCTCTCTACTAAATGCCAAACGCAGTAACGTGTGGCTAAACTCATCTTCATCTCTTCAACTGAAATTCCACCTTAAAATAGTGTTTTTAATATAATATGGATTCCAAAAAGGAAAATCTCCAATATATTTTTCTTTGAGAAATGATCTGCTGCTCCTGCTTCAACAAAGTCGCTATGTTGGATTCAGTCACGTATTGTTACACTCCCAGAGTAAGACTCTTTACTTCTTCATTTTTTGCTGCATTAATCTGGGTTACAATGGGGTGCTAATAACGAAATTTGACCCAATTTTTAAGTTGCACTCCGTTGAGTCCAGTAGATTAGAGAATTAGCGGAATTTTCTTTACTTCCAAAAAGTTCTTGATTTCTCAGACTGATAATCTTGATTTCTTTGTATATTTGCTTCATCAGTCTTTGTTAAGACGTGGTGCCTGTGCAATACTTTTATTTAAAAATTGTTGATTCTTGGCCGAGTTTGGAATTCTCACTTTGTTGAGTCCAGTAGATTCAGATTTATAAACCAAGCCAATATTGGGGCCTGCTTTACGATAATGAAACCAACTAGAGTAACTTGTTGAAGGACATTTTGCTATGCATATATCATAACTATGTTTTTCACAGTTCATATTGGTAATATGAGTTATGTTACTTGTATTTATGGATTAGTTTACAGATTGATGATGTGAATAGTATTAATTGACTTCGTTTCATTTTATTCTTTCTTGCTTTTCTCTTTCTCTCTCTTCCACATAATCAATATATAAACATTTGTAGACCAATCTGTCCACCATTTTGTACAAGTAGTATTACTCTGGTAATTTTTATATTCTCTTTGAGAATATGCTAGTTATTCATCTATGATCCCCCTACCTTTTCAAATTTCTTTGTGTAGCACCAATTTCTTGTTTGATTTTAGGATAAAAAAGATACTTCAGATAATTCTTGCTTCATGACTAGACCGAAGAAGCAGATTTTATATATATTTATCAGGAAGGATAAGAGGCTACTGTTATGCATGAACATTGGTGAAGCAATAGTAGTGTTACATTGCCCTCAACATTGGTGATACTTTGCTTCCCTCCTTTGGTTGTTATGCTACTTCCTTTGTGTATAAACTGTCTTGTCTTGATTTCTGCTATGTTATAAGTTTTGTGATTTATTTGCAGTGGCTCTGATAGATTTTTTGCATTTCATTCTTATGTATTTCCCTTTTAAATTGTATTTCTTAATTGACCATGTTGGCCAAAATCTGTTGGGAATAAGTTTACTTTGTTATATTTCTTAATTGTCCAAATGTTGATTAGATAAGTACTACGGCAATATTTCTCAAATCTGAGGCAAGAAGTATTTATAAATTCTCATAATTATCTATGTCCACATGCAGGGTAGTGACATTATATTTCAGACTAGCTCCTTTAGAGCTATTTCTTGTACTCCATGTCCATGTCGACGTTATTTCAGTGTCTTGCATGCTTATAACCAGTTATTGCAAATCCGACCAGTGCCCATACATCAGAAAATATATTATCATCATCCCTACAGAACACACAATGTCCTCAAGGGAACATCTTTCTCATCTTACTCTGTTTCTGGTAGAGAAGAATTTTCCTGTTTCAACTCTAGACAGGTTCGGAAGGTGAGATTCAGGATATGTGCAACACTTGACGTTGCCGGTGCTGTT